TGAACATTCCCTATGTCAATCCATTTCTGCTGCTCAAATCTTGGACCTACAATTGATCAACCACCATGCAATCATCCATAAATCAACCGATGACGGCTGGTGACTTAGCCTGGCTAAGTCCGCAGGACCCGGCCACGGAAGGCGGACGCGCAGTGCCTCCGGTAATCCCGCAAGGCCACTGGAAAGGAGGCTTGGAGGCCCTACCGGACCACCACCGGTATACCACAGGTATAGCGTTCGCAACAGGCCACAGGGGAGGAGGTCTGGAGGCACGCCCGGGTGATGTTGTAAAATTTGAGAGTACTTGGCGGTGAAAACTCAAAAAGTTGACGTCGAAATGCCATCTACTTTGGCTCTGTCGGTTCGCACTTCTTTGAAAAAAGATTCGGACGGGAAAAAGTACATGGAACCTGCAAAACCTGCAAAATGTTTGCTCAGTCAACCCAGTCAAGCTCCATTTGATTGGCACCATCATGATACACCCCTATGGCAAGGACGAAAAAGTGTTGTTTTGCTGTAGCGCCTTCCTGCTTCTGCAGTTCATCCTGGAGTCACAGTACTGCGCGCCTTCCCACTCTGAATGTCAGTGTGCGCATTGTACTGAAATTGAGTTCCTGATTTTCCTTGTCTCCCCCCATCTCCTCCCTCATCTCATATTGCCCCTCTTCACCCATCTCTCCCCAGGCCCTCCCACCCTCCGGCGCTGTTTGCGCCATCTACTGCGTGTCAGAAGCACCCATTCCTGGATCCCTTGTGCGCGCCCAACCCATCTAATTACAATAGAACGCAGTAAACCCTTGCCCTGCCTCTCGGTTCCTCCTCCTCATCATCCGCTCCTTTCCCCTCCTTCCTGTCCTCACTGCTATGCGCCTTCCCACTCTGACTCTGACTGTCAGTGCGCGCCATTTACTGTGCATTGAGTTCCTGATTTTGTTCTCCTGTTTCTGGATGTCAGTTTGCGCCAGCACCCATTCCTGGATCCCTCGTGCGTGGCCAACCATTTTATATACACAGTAGAATGCAGTAAAACCTTTCCTGCCCCACCTCCACTCTCCTCCTTCTCTCCTTTCCCTTCCTGCCTGTCCTCACTGCTTTGTTCACTCTGACTGTCAGTGTGCGCCATCTATTGCGCATTGAGTCTCTCCTCTCTGACTTTTTCCTGCCTGTATTTTCAAACCCCCTCCTTGTTTCTTCCTTTTCCTCCTCTGCCCTCCTTCCTGCTGTCAATGTGCGCCATCTACTGCCCATTGAGTTCCTCGTTTGTTGAATGTTTTTGGTGATGAGGACGCCAAAAAAACAAATAGTTGTCTTTTTCTCTGAATCTGATCTGTGTTCCCTTCCCTTCCCTTAAAGGAAACAGATTTGAGAAGAAGGGAACAAGGTAGAAACATGTAGAAACAGTATTACATGGCGCAGCGTTTTTGGGCCAAAATTTTTTTTAGTACATGGCTCTGAGATCCTTGCACGTTTAGTAGCCGGCTCCATCTACTATTGCCCGCGCTCATTTGGAACCCACTTTCGAAAAACCGCCATCTATAGCCATTTGTCAACGCCACCTACCTTGAAACTACTGCACACTTTTAAAAGCATGTTTGGAAGGGTGCCCCCCTTCCTTCCAGATACCTCAAGATGACCCCAAGGTGCGAATTATGCAGACCAAGTTGGCTTGCATTATTGGCATTTTCTGTGTTTGGCTTTGTTTCTGGTCAAAGCAGCAGCCACAACACACACAACCACAACCACAACACCAACCACAACAACCACCACCACCACAACACCACCAACAAACACAACAACCACCACGTATTTTGTGTCCATAACCATGAGTCATCACTCGAAGCCTTTTCCGCTCCTCCGTTGTCAAGGATGAGCTCTTTGCAGTGGTGCGACCATGTTGCCGTAGCCACTTGGTGTCGAATAGCGTCCAAATGCGCGCAAGGTCGCTGGTCGAGTCTAGTTTATGGGGAAAATTGTTGGCTATACTGCTACACCCAAATGCATCCAAACGCATGCAAGGTCGTTGTTTGAGTCTTGTTTATGGGGAAGATTGTTGGCTATATTACTACATCAGTCGAACCTTCATGTCTTGTTGACTTGAAGTAGGGAAGTATGGCTGGCCCATCAGTAAGGAAGAATCGGGAATGCTACTGCGCAGAGGTGGCAGTAGGACACCCATTTGCTGCATACCGAACGCTTTTGTTACTGTGCAAGGCAAAAGGTTTGGCTAGCTGCGGCACCATCACCCTTGGACCATTGCTGAAAAACAGGCTGACTTTTTGCATTTGCAATGATTTTCATAAAGGATGTACTGATCTAATCCCCCGTCGCTTGAATTCGGCTTATCAGTCGGGTGTGTCCGAAGCCTCGTCAGGTCGAGGAAGGAGCTGTTGTGCAATATGGAGCCCTAGCTGCTATATAGCTTGACTTTCCTTGGAGTTGGCTCCAAAGACCGACAAAGACGAAGGAAGACCGACGAAACGCGGATGTTTTTCGCTCTCCGCGGAAATTTGGGGTGTCTCAGTGGTGAACTTAGGCCAGAAAGAAGAGGTTCTGCAGAACCCTTGTACAGCCTTACAGAGTATTTTACGGAATGATGAGTTTTAGGACAGCGTCAAAGGAGCGAAAGCATGCGAAAGCGAAAGGCGCTTTCGGTCCTCAAGCAGCTTCTTCCTCACCTGCTGAAGATGCAGCTGTGATGGTCAAGACGAGCAGATTCTCAGAGGGCTGGCCCGGCCAGCCCGGACATCGATTTTGCAACACACAAAAAATGCCGTCCGCCATTGGTTGGCTGGTGATCCACTTTCAAAGTTTGGACTCACATGAAAAACGATCCTTTGGTGTCACAGTGAATACTCAAGCATGTCAGATACCCTGATGTTTTTCTGAGTATGCCAAGTACTGTACCTCAACAAGTTGAAAGAGCAAAATCAAATGACACATAACAATTCGACTGCAAAAACATGCAAAAACACATTGTTCATCATGTTTGAACTATATATTCAAGTGCAGGGTCGTGGCCTCGTTCCGCCCGGCAGGTGTACCCGCACCTCCGAGACGATGTGGGAGCTTCCTCCGTTGGACTTCCAGGCGACTGACGTCAGTCCCGGTTTAACAATGCCGCCGATGGCGGAAGAAGAACGCTCACCTTCTCTCGGACCAAAACCATGGCAATGTCCAGTTTATGGCACAGAAAAGTTTCGGTGGGAATTTCTGGTCCATCAACATGATGACAGGGGATGTGGCAATACCTCTATGTTGGGTGCAGCAACCGTGAAGATGCATTCCACCTATCAAAGCACCTCCAAGTTCTCACCAGTTGTTCTACTACCTGCGAGTACCTTGAGTTCTGCGAAAGATAGATGGCAAGGGAACCCCCTTTCCAAGTGATGGTTGAAGGCACGCATTGATTATTGATGTGCTGCAGAAGCCAAAGTCCCTAATTTGAGCCGAAGATCACGAACTCACAACACAGGGTAGAACAATGTCAACTACCGTAAGATACTGTAAGTAACTTTCAGGTGGGGCATTACCTGCCAAAACCATTTGTCGCAAGCACTTGAACATCATAATACGGCACTTATTTGGCCCAGTCTCATTCTCATCCCTGCCTGGTAACTCGCGCTGGCGCGATATCCGACAGGCTGCAGAGCCAGCGATATCCGCACCATCCCCTGGGGATCCCGAAGAACATCTCAGATTCTTGCTGGAGGCATGCGATGACTGAAATGCGTGGAGAGGTGCTGTTCAAGGCACACTTAATAATAGATCTTAGCCAGCTGGCTGGTGGCTTCTGACTTCTGATAGGCTGAGTGGCCACGACTCCAGAGGCAAGAGGAGTTGTGGAGAGAACGGGAACTTGCAGGCACGGCGGCACGGCTGCATGGCCTTGTGCTTCTGTGTGATCCCGACCTGACGCGCCACCAAGACCTGACCTTGTGGTGTCCTTTTCACCATGCTGCACCGGTACTGCTGGTGACAGCACGACCAAAGCCCACGACACACGATGCGTAACGAATCTGAAAGGGGCAATCTACGTCTACGAACGATGTCTGTGGCACAAATTAAGTACCATATAGATCGATCTATATAGTCCGTGTAAGACCAACTCGTTGCTTTCGTGGTTCGGACCGCTCAGTTTGAGACGACGAGCATCGCGACCAACACACGACACCAGGACAGCAGGAGGAGATCGCTTCGACGAGTAACCAAGATGCCAACGTATGCCAGTGAGTCAAAAGAAACTGCTGCAATCTTCGGCTGATCCTGAGTAAGGTAGACTTCTGATTATGTAAACTGCCCCTGCCAGAATTCAGAATAGTTTTGTATCTCCAGTCCTCCGGGGCTTTAGGAATCATATTAGGTTAGCCAGGTGAGCTTATCAATGTGGATCTCACCCAGGCGCAGTATGGATGAGTTCTGACTGTTGCTGATCGAATCTACCACAATCATGTGCGTTGCCGCTTTGCTCCGTTGGTGGAGGGAGCTAGGCATGACTTTGAGTAAGAGTTCCCAGACACTCCATGTCTGTCATATATGCCTACATTGATCCCTCAAACCACCCCAATGAAGGTAAATATACCATACATTGGGTGTTTGAGGTTGCTTTCTTCCGCAAAACCTACATCGATAGGCCCGCAAGTCTGAAGGAGTTCCCCTCTCCCACTTGAACAGACCTCAAAGGCATTTCAAGTTGCTTGCAACCTTTGATTCCTTCACCAATGAGGACATTCATCCCAATATGTGTTTCGGTCAAGCATGGTCAAGCAAAGCCTTCCGGACTGATGGGTGATATCCCTGCTTTCTTTCTTTAAAAGGATTCTGACGGCCAGACGGCTCCGCCAGAATGGGCCAGAACGGCTCCCGCTTGCACCAAATCGGAAGAAAAATCTCGGTCCATCTTGTTACTACTAGCTTCTTGTTACTAGTAAGGCACTTGTTACTATTAGCGATGCACTTGTTCCTAGTAGCTTCTTGTTACTACTAGCGTGGCACTTGTTACTAGCTCCCCTTTCGGCTCCCGGGCGCGTCGAGTCCATGTCCATGGCGTGTCCGCTGCAAGTGGCCGTGAGAATTCGACCACCACAACCACATGATGGGAAGGTGGGGATTGCAAAGGGTAACCGTTGCCGCCCATTGGCTAGCAGCTAGTGCCTAGACCGACTCTAAGAAGACATGGGACACCAACTTTCGGAATGAAAGTTGCCGGGAAGCGGAACTAGTAGAACAGGGTCGCTGGAAGATGGGATGATGTGGAACCTGCTGACGCAACAGAGCAGCACCAATTTTGGTCTACCACTCAGCTGGTCGACAGTTTTTCCCGGTCAGACCTATAGTACTATAGAAAATTGACTGCCTCAAAAGAAATGTCCATGCCCCCTTAAAGGTGACATACTCCCGCGAGGTTTCCTTGACTCAAGAGGAGAGCTTGAAAACGGTTTTGATAATTTCTAAGAAATTAAATAGTGCCTGGACATGATTGGGAGATCTGGGAGAAGACTTAATGAAGACCTATATACACTGAGCAGGCTTTCATGTTGCTTCATGCTGTGAAGAATATTTGGAGACACACACTCCTCCTTTAGACCCTCTTACAGTAGAGGTATTGAAATCGGTCACGCTGGCCGAGCCACGACCTCACAGATTGCAAACCTTTCTTGTGGGCTTGACTCGGGACTCAGACCAACGAAACAAGAGAGAAGATCGAGAAGCCAACAACGGGACAAATCGACAAATCATGATAAATCCATGTGGGTTAGTTTCTTGATCTATCAACCATATGACACTCCTAGGCGAGTCGGGAGTCGGTGAGGCAGATCGACTCCTACAGTTTTGCGAAAAAAAAAAGGGCGACGGTCCGGAGGTATTGAGGTTCGGAGGGAATGGATAGCTCACCAAGTTATACCAGGTACCGCCCACACAAGATAGCGCCCATTGGATCGAAACCAAGATGTTTCTGAATGTCATTCTATCTCCACCACAAACCAGGAAGAAACACCTCAATGACTAAAAAAGCCACACACTTCGTTCAATTTCTTCGCTCCAAAAGCCGGTGTTTTGGGCTCCGATTGGCATGCAGCAATCCGGGCACTGCTCGGACCGCCAGTTGGGCAACGTGGTCTCGGTGCAAGCGCTGGATGGCGTCACCTTGCAGGTGAACGAAGGCGACTGCCGGGCACTGGTCTATGACCGAGTCTTCGGCCCCGATGCTTCGGTCGAGCAGGTGGGATAAGGTGGGGGGGATTGGGGGGAAGGAAGAAGGTGGAACAAGGTGGTTCTGTGGCGAAAAGAGCCGTTTTTTGGGCTGCCAAAACCAGAGATCACAGGATTTCTGAGGCAAGAGTGGCTTAGTAGAGCGTTCGATCAAAAAGTTTGTTGGATTAAGAGAAATTGCCAGAGGACTGGAAACGAGAAGCAAATTACCATGATCATGATCACCTTCATGTTTGGATGAAGACGCATGATTGCTCGGACGTTTCGAAGACGTTTCGGGAAGAGACTGGCTGGGCCCCAAGTTTGAGACAGTTTGTGTCCTCGTTCTGATCGGATTCATTCCTGTCCAATTGGAAGAAGGGAAGAGTCGAGGCTTTAAATCACCATAAATGTTTCAGATTTGTGGAGTGTCAATAATCGATCATAATGGAAAGCCTTTGGATTTTTTTCGAGGAATAGCGAATGATGAGTCCACAGAAAGAGCGAGGAAGTGTGAAGAATGTTGAAGGAACCTGGTGTTACTCCAGGGCGCTTGGAGAATGCAAGTATGGATTTCTGAAAGGAGATGCCATGGCAGGTGCTTGTTGGTAAGAGCTTCTCGACTTTCATGGCAACTCATTTACTTCCACAGCTCCCAAGGAAGCTACTCAACATGAAGTCTATAGCGCTTGTGCCTCTGATCTGGTGGACGCCGTGATCGAGGGCACCAATGCCTGCATTTTTGCCTTTGGCTCTACTGGTGCAGGGAAGACGCACTCCATGCTTGGCCCGGAGGGGGGCCGAGCCTTTGGAAAAGAGTTGTTTTTCCAACCTTCGGTTGGTGGGTTCGGGTGGGCTGTCAAACAAAGGCATGGCCGCCATGGCCCATGTCGGCCATGAATAATCATGCTCGAACTTCCAAGCATATTCCCCAGTCGCGTTTAACGGGATCACTCAAAGTTAAGGAATTCCATTCATGTCTTGATTTTGTTTTTTCTTCAGATGTATACTTATTGCTCACACAATCACCACTTCAGGACGCAAGGCCACCCAGGACGGCATCCTGCCGCGCGCCGCCGCCGAGCTCTTCCGGCGCATTGCCCGGGTCGAGAGCGAGGCAAAGGCAGCCATCGGCGCCGGGGGGTTCTCTGCCTATGAGGTGAAGGTCTCCTTCTTGGAAACCCGGAGGAACAGAACGATGAGGAAAGCATCAAGGAGGAACGACAGGTTTCAGAACTTGAACGAGGAAAGAAAGCAAGGACAAGAAGGAAATTTGATGCGAAAACAGAAAGGTCGTAAGGAAATGGAAACAGGACCCTAGAAGAAAAGAAAGTCCTGACTTCGCTTTTGCTTTGTGTTCTTTGTAGCTAAATGTTAAGATACTGGATACTGTCCTTTTAGGATGCGGGATTCAGCGAGAAGTCAAGAAAAAGGACAAGTGATGGAAAGATCGCGGAGCAACCTTGACTGGAGGGGAGGGAAGAAAACAGAGCCTGCAGAGCTTCCAGTCCGCATAGTCCCCTCTCAGGGGCTTTTAATTGCCTTGATGCTCCAAACCCAGCGTAGTAGAGCCCCCGAGCTCATCAATCTTAAACTTTTCCAGACACAAACCCTCCCTAAACTTAGAACCCAACTCCACCCAAGTCCACATGGTTTCATCCTCAGGAAGTCTATTGCGAGAACGCCTTCGACCTCCTCAGCGGTCCCGTGAGCGCCTCGCGTGACCCCAGTGGCGCCTGTCCTCTTCGCGAGGCCTCGGACGGCCGGGTCTATGCCGGTGGCGCCAAGGAGGAGAGAAGTCACCCGGGGAGCGCCCAGGAGGGTGAGTCATCCCGTCACGGAACATGCAGCAGACTGTTCAGCGGACCTAGACAGCTGTCATCAGCTGTCCAAGCTAGGAACAACCTCACCCTGTGTCCCATCCCATTTCATCCATCCATCTAATCTCTAATCCTCCAGTGTCCAACCTGAGAAAAACATGACCACCAAGATACGTTTGATTCACTCACAGACGTTTGAAAACACCAAATGTCACTTATTACCATGGCTTAAAGGCATTCTGAAGACAAGCTTGAGATTTTGTCGAGAAGACAAGAAGTTTGTCGTGCGGCATTGTATTATACAGTAAGTGCATGTATAGATTGATCCCAGCCGCTGTATAAAACCTGTCGTTCTCCGTTCTCTCCGCTCAAGAGAGAGACTCTCTCCCACTCTCTCTCTCTCTCTCTCGCTCTCTCTGTGAGGTTGGAGGCCATCGCTAGTAAGTCGGAGGCCATCGCTATTAGTATCTCTCTCTCCGTCTCTCTCTCTGTGTTATTCCTCCATGAGGAGAAGATCAAGTCCTGCGAGCAGCTGCTGGATGTGGTGGCTGCCGGTGCCCGCGCACGGGCCACGGCCGCCACGGGGGTCCATGCGCATTCCTCGCGGTCGCACGCGCTGCTGGTGATCAGTCTGGAGCACCGCTGGCGCGACGTGGGAGAGACGGATCCCACGAAGTACAATACACAGGTGCCGCAGAGGAATCAAAGGTCTCAGCCTGGTTTTGGGGTACTTGGACTTGGAAGTGATATATCATGCCACAACTCTATACTATAGAGTAGTTGGAGGTCATGTACACCGACGTTTAACGTTCCTGGGAAGTGAAAAATCCTGGCTTGAGATGGAGGGAAGCGAGCTTTCGGATGTGACCCGAAAGTGTCTTTCCAGATCCAAGTGAGAACTTTGAAGCACCCTAACTTGTGACCAAGCTTGGAACCCTAACATGGATACCCGCCTACCTCGCCAAGCTTGCTCTGTGTCCCAAAATTGGGGGGCCACAGAACATGCTTATTCTCTCTTTTGCAGGGAGAGGATGAACAGTTTTTTTCATGCCTTTTTGGGTTCTAAAGTGTTCCTTTCAACTCGTTCCTCCGCTCCCGACTAACGACGAGGTCTCCCGGCTGACCTTGGTGGACCTGGCGGGTGCCGAATCCATGGAACGCGCGCATGGCGGAGCCGTGGACGCGGCGGGGGTGGGCACCAACATGGGCTTGCTGGTCTTGGGCCGCGTGATCCGGGCCTTGGCGGAAGGCTCGGACACTTGGCTCTGAGAAATCAGAATAATAGCCATGGGCCACAGGTGTTCGTGGAAGCAGATCCCTGTGAAAGAAGAAACTAGACTTTCTCCCATAAATACATACTGTATTACATAAAAATGGTATATACATACCAATACATGGACGCAAGGCGATGATGGGGAGTTTGTCCATCGGGGTGTTGCAGGATGTTGTCCATGACGGCGCTCAAGTGTGATCAACTTTGTACACATCGCCGCTATACCTATTTTATATGAATACAGGATAATTAAGGATGTCAAAGGTCAAAGGTTGGCAAACGTTTGGGGTGCAGATTGCTCAGTGCTAGCCATACTGTGTGTGTGCGCGTGTTTTTCATGTCATGTTCGATACTCAAGTCTTCAATGTTTTTCCTGTCATAGCTGTTGGAGCTGATGTCTCCAGACCTTAGGTTGAAGCTTGCTGTTGGTGTTTGATGTGACCTTTGGCTGGTTGTTATCATCATCATCATGCGTGTACTGTTTCCGGTTTTTCACCGCCTTGTAAGGAGCGTGTCCCCTATCGAGACTCCTCCTTGACCCGCCTCATGCAAAGCTCTTTGGGGGGCAAAGCGAAAACGCAGATGCTGGCATGTGTGAGCCCTTCTCTGAGAGAAGCTGATGTCACTCTACAGACTTTGAAGTAGCTGGGCGGAGTAGGCCCATGCGCCACAGAAGGCCCTGATCTTCCTGTGAACCATTGCCATGTCAAGTGCGAGCTCAATTTCAGTTTTGTGTCATCCACGGATTCGAGTAGTGTGCCTTTGTTTTGTTTTCGTTGATTTCCCTGTTCCTGCTTAGAAACATCGAGATGGAGTGCAATAAAGAAGGAACATGCAGATGTTTGATTGATCCTGTTTGGGTTCAGCAGGATCCCCACAAAGAATTAACGACTACTGAGTATCAGATTGCTAGTCCCCCTGAAGAATACTCCTCACCTCCAACAAGCAGGAGCAGGTCACCCTACATACCCGTTCTGAGAATTGCAGGAAGTTCGTTGCTTCACCGGAGTTGACATGTTTAAAAGAAGAAAACGCTGAAGCCAAAGTGTGAAGGTGCTAAGCCCTTGTCTTCCCATGTCTTCCCATCACTTGGGATGTTCGAGGTATGCCTCCAGTGCCCGCAGTGTCGTGCTGAAGCCCGAAGCGGCCATGGTGGCGAGTGCCTTTGAGACCGATCCCATGTTGATGGACGTGGAGGATGAGGACGGTTGGATTGAGCTGGCCAGGAAAGCCCTTGGTCGGATGATTGTATTATAGAGGGGAAGTTAGAGGGGACTCAAGGACATGGTAAATGGTCCCTCAACCAATAGGTAAAGACCCTGGTAGAGGGGACACCCTCAAGGGGATACCCTCAACCTAATAGGTAAATGGTCCCAAACCAACCCCTAGATTATTCTCAAAAGGACATCACCGGACTGAACAGTCTGCCTCTACGAGGTTTGCATTCCACCTTTACCAGGGTAGACCCTCGCGGCCATCTAGTCGTACAACTCATGGGGTCTTGCACAGTAATTAGGGCAACCCCGTGTCATGTGTTCTTGGATGTTCTTGGAGCATGGCGAAGGTACCTTCCAAATGATCCCACTACCTTTGCGTGGTTCTTTTGTTCTTGGACCCACCACACGCCTCCCCATCCAACGCCTCCGACCGACTGCACGTATCGCGCCCTCGCACCACCGAGTCGGCAGAGGACCCGACCTTGAACCGCCGCTGCCTTTGGATCGAGACCCCAGACTTCGGCGACGTCTTCGCGCGCTGCGTGGGCGATCCCAAGGACCCCTTGATCCTCTACGTGGCTCGGAGTTGGTGTGAAAAAGGCTGTGAGAGTTGGAAATGTCCGAAATCTCGCCAAAGCGGTGACGAGACCTTGTTGCTGTGTGATGCTGCGTTTTTTTGGGGGGGCGTGAATGATGAAGGATTGGTGGGAATTCCACCGGGGTGCCGTCGGCGATTGGGACTTTGGTGGGAAACGTGAAGTCTACAACTGATGGCCACCGTTCTGCTCATGGCAGGTTCATGGCTCGGGCCCATGCAACAGCTCCATGTTCTGGAACAAGTTGGTGACTGACGTGGCCGCACTGGCAAGCTCAGGCGGGGCTGCTCGGTGCTCGGTGCTACGAGTACGTGTGTTGCTCACAGGAATGGCTGGAAGTTGATGCGTTTGGACTGGTCTCACCGGGTGATATCGGGTATTGAGAATGAAGCAATCTCAGACTGCCACGCAGTAGAAAAGGCATGAAAATGCTAGACACTGACGCTTTTGCTGCCATGCATGAGAAGCCGGGAGAGTCCTGGACCAGCTCATTTGTGAAAATCATCTATTTCGAACCTATATATGATATATACTACCCAGTTTTAATATCCAGTCTTCCTGCGTGAAGGCAGCTAGAACTTCATCAGACAAATGATTGGCTGTTTTTTTCATCCAAAGAAAGGCTGGGAAGCGGGTTGTCCCGTTTCCCCCTTGCTTGGGAAAAGACACGTGAAACAGCGAAAACGCGTCTACATAGCTCACGAGGTGTGGGCGATTTGCCGAAGAGTTTCTTCCAGGTGGCCATCGATTGTCCCGGCTACGGCCGCTCTCCAGGTGGGATGGATTCAGCGGATGTCGGATGGATTCATCGGTGAAGGGATGGTTGTTGATGGTTGTTGTGATTTGTTTAATTTGTCCTTTCCTCCTTAAGGTGCTTGGTTTCACGGTTGGTGGTGTACTTTCATATGTGTACTGTATATATTATGTTTCATGTATGTTCCTTTTCGACTCTGCCGGGCATGAGACAAACAGTGAGTTACTGTTGGATGTTGATGGCTTGGGGAGACTTCTCTTACAGGCAGAAATCGGATGCCTGTAGCCCAGTGCGGGAAGGGACGTCCTTATTTGATGGTAAAGCAAAACGATGTGAACAGTATTTGTGAAGTTGACCAACTCAGTCCAAGCCGGTTCTACAGGAGTTCCGTAGTTTCGTTTCATGCAGTAAATCACTCCACACGAGGATGGACTCCTTCTAATATGGTATTGCTAAGTCAAGTCAGCAAATTTGAAGTCGCTACAGGCCCCCAGCGTTTGGCCACACCCGCACACACTTCTGGACCTCAGTTTGAATCAGTCAGTTAACTAGGCATGGCTCATGTGACATTGAAGATGCATCCCATCCCTTGTAGCCTGGAACATCCTGCAACCAAAGCCTGGAACTTTGTCTTTGGTTTCTCCCAAACTCCAGGTGATCGACAGAGCATTCGTAGCTATCCTGGAGCATTGATCTCCAATATCGTTCGAGCACTTGGGCGCAAGACTGTGGCATGTTCCTTGGAAGAAGTCAAGCGCTGACGCATGTGTGTGTGTGTGTCCCCCTTTTGGTTTGTTCACGAGTGTTTGATCAAGCTATATCCCCCAACAAACATGGAAGTTGACGTAGGTTGACTATGCCCTGTTTGGTATTCAGATTTCATGGTCTTTCCAGGTAGCATGTCATACAAAGCGTGAGGACGTCGGAGGGATTTGGACGGAGGGTAAGTCGCAAAAAGGATACACAAGAGTGCTTCTGCGATGCGTCACCAGACGTGGAGGATGCAAAAAAAGATACAGCGGGTCATGTGCCGTCACCTCCGTTGGTTCAGAACTCGCACCTGCCCGGCCTGGCAGGTTTAGTTGGATCGAGCCAGGGCGCTTGTGCCACGTTGAACTGTGCCTTGGAGTGCCCCAAGTTGATGCACACGATCGCTGTGTGCCACCCCGTGGGTCATGCTCCACACCGCTACGTGGCCATCACCCAACCGAGTTTGCTGATTTTTGACACCGAAGATGCAGGGCATCCAGTGTCTGTGGGACGGCAGATGAGGAGACAACTTCCCAATCCTAGAGACTTGGTGAAGATATGTGAAGGTGGGGATCTAATGTAGACATATGTAGACTCTTGATGATATTTTAACCCGCTCTCCCCAGGCCTGAAGCGGTTTTGCACTCCATGTTTGAGTATATACTTTTTTGTTAATCAAGAGTCAACGTTGGACCATTCATTCCGAGTCCATCAGCCCAACAATCCTGCGCAGAACCTTAGATAGTTAGCAGTTTCTTTTGATGAAGGACACGTGCACCTCTATGGGACAACGGCGTTTATGTTGGCTAAGATTGTGTTTTGTTGTTTATGTATTCGCAGCTACACCAACATCATAAATGGACTATGAGGGGTTTGTCAGGTCTACCAGTCTACCGGCCTATCATAGACTTTGACACTTGGAGTTCACCAGTTGACCAGAGCCGAGCCGAGGATATTTCGAGTTCACCAGATCAAAAGATGGTGACTGGGAAGTCTTGCACATGGGAGAAGAGATGATTGCCATGATGCTGGAGAGCTATCAAAGTTGGAAAACTAAGCGCTTGGGTGGTCGGAGAGACAAAGACCTCCCGGACTTGACCCGAGTTGCTGGTGGATTCAACTCTTGGAATGAGAAGCATGGCACTGAGTTTGACCCGTGGGGAGGTTATGATGAAGCTGATGCGCCTGAAGCTGATGAGGCGCCGGTGGATGAAAACTGCTGGCGGGCGAAGTTGGATGCTTGCCTCAGATCTTCTTGAGATTTGTTGCATCCAATCAAAGTAGGCCAACTTTGACGCTCATCGTTTACTCCGAACTGTAAAATCATGACGATACTCAATGAAGAGTCGGAATTCCAATGCCGATTGCACATACCCATACGTTTGAGTTGAACACATCTTTCTAGAGTCTCTAGAGCACTGCTTCAATTGCATGTTCAGAATAGTCCCACTGTCCCACTCCCATTTGTTTTGAGGTGTTTTTGTTTTCGTGTCAGACACGAAACCAGCCCATGTTCCGCTTATTTCCGCTTCATGTCTCGTCCATGACACCGGCCGCGTCAAGGACAAATCCACCAACACCATGGTCTACGAAAACGTGGTCAGTGGACGCATTGCTCGGGTGAGGCCACCCGGCGCCCGCGTGCTGGTGGAACGTCTGGGACACAAGGAGAAGGAGTCCGGTGGCGTCAAAGTGGCATGCGTTGCACATATCGTGGGGAGGACGTGACTGAAAAGGGGACGGTAGACCATTGGATGTTTCTTTTGCTTCTTCTCTCTCCTTGGATTCTTTTGAGAAGTCCCACTATGTCCCATTATTCTGAGCAAGATCATGGCCAAGAAAAGTGTTGATGAACAGCTGCATATGTTCACACGTTGGTTTCGATCAAGCCCGAGAAGTTGTTTTGGTGCAATTGCATCTGAGGTGGATGGTGCAGAGGTTAAGGATACCAAGGCGAGCGAAGAGATGGCTAGGGCTGAAGTGGGGAAGCCTTTGATCCCCTTATTCGACGCTTGGATGTTTTGATCGTTTCCTTCATGATCGATCATGCCCAAGAGGGGAAGTCATACATAGTCATGCTCTTGTTGGTATAGAATAGAAGATTGGCACAATCAATTTCTTCTATAATAGATGTGCGTACTATAAATCACAGATCCAGGACCCTAGAAGATGCTGAGAAATTCCATGTTCATCGATAGCCACTGTGTTCAATTAGTATGAGCTTTGGTCACCCAACCCAAATAATGCGAGTGTGGAGTCAATCAGTCAATCCTAATTTATGTATATGTATGGTATTTATGAAAATCTCCATGATGAACATCCATTTACAACGTAAACACGAGCTGAACCGGATAATTTCCCCGGATGCTCACCGTGTGTTCTGGACACACGTCCAGCGCGACGAGGAGGGCATGGATGAGGAGGACGACGAAGATGACGAGGAACGGCAAGAGCGCGAAGCCAAAGAAGCGGCAGCTCTTCTTCAGCAGGAGGCATCGCCGCATCGCTCCGCGTCGCGTCGCGCGTGTCGGTCGTGGTGCATCACCCGAGCACCACATAGCACCACAGCACCATGCAGAGGTCTTCTATTTCTTTGATCTTAAGGGAATTCTTCAATCATGCTAGACTCTGCGAATTTGGTAAGAGGCCTGCTGATCTCTTGCTTGTCTTGGCAGGATGAATTACTGTAGGTCTAAAAGATCTTAAATGTCTATTCTCGCTGGTGACCCCAAATCCTGCAATTTGTGTCATCGACACTGAGGCCACTCAGAGTCAGTGTGACTTTTGCCGAAAGCCTTTGATCCAGCCCATCCGCCTCAGCCGCTGTCGCTGCGCGCTCTGTGCCTGTTGCGTCGAAGTGACTGTACGCTACATGCGCGAGTGCCCCGTGTGCGAGTCAGCTGTGGATGTTAAGGCCGGGAAGGTGACCTCAGATGCCTCCAATGAGTGACTCGGCCTTTTACCAACCAGCGCTCCGGTGGCGGTTGGTTGAATTGAAGCAGCTTTCCGAAACGCTTCTGGCGGTGGCGAGGGGTTCTGGAGACAATGACATGCAACTGTTTCTAATAGCTTCTTGTTACTAGTAGTAAGACACTTGTTACTAGTAGCGATGCACTTGTTACTAGTAGCTTCTTGTTTATTGCTTGCAGTTTAGAAAAAGGACCCGCAAGGGCCGAAGGGGATCATGAGGAAGTTATGTCGGTGCATGTTCAGACCAAGAAGGGGCGGTGACAAAACCCACAAACAACAAACAGGTCGTTCACAGGACGCCTTCGAATTTTGTGTCATTGCCCGAGAAAATGCAGGGATTCAGGTTGCGAGTTAGGAGTTGATAGGGTTTGGAAACGAACTGGCTTCAACGGGAGATGTTCGTTGTGTTGGAGCTCAGCCCACGTGCGTCCTAGGCTACTGGCTCATGTGGAGGATCGAGTGGCCCGGGCAGGTGAGGAGATTGCGGAACAGCAGGGTGTGCTGCAGCAGTTGGTGGATGCACGCCAAGCGTCCCAACGACTGGTCCTGCAGTATGGGAACACTTCCTCTGGCCGAGGAAGCAAGAGATCTTACACCACCTTTTTGAAAGTGGTCCAGGCCGAAGGTGGGCCTCCAGAGAAAGGTTCGGTCTTGAAAGTGGACTTCAACATCAACCCTGGCTATGCGAAGCCAACAGCAACAGCAAAGGAGCCGAACGACAAGTCCTTAGGATTCGCCTTTGAGTATGCCATGGCAAGAGCCTATCCATGTCACATGACTGTGCATTTCAAGCCTGAACTGGGACTGCCCAAACTCATCATCGAGCACTATGTCAGAGATGAACCCAAAACGAGCCGTCGGATTCTTATTCAGCTCCTTGGCAGCGGCACAGCAGGGCAGAGGTTCAACACGCAGTAGGGCACACTGCAATACATTCATCACACCGCTTCTTGTTGTCACCCATAGTCTACCCATACAGAGCCATGCTAGCTCCAATATCTTGCCATGTCATGCCATTCATTGCCATTCCAAATGTTCAAGAGCTTCGGCTGCTGTTGGGAAGGGGGTCACATGTGAAGCGGTTCCACTTCCAAGAAAGTGGACCAAAGAACAGTGGACATCCAGCACCCAAAACTGCTAGAATCTGCTGGAGAATCCAGGCAGTATAAATACTTTGCAAGTGCTTCGCCATGCTTTGCCCTTTGAAGCCAAAGAACGACGGCAAATGGGTGGTTGAGCCCAAAATCCACATGTTCCAAGGCTTCCACAACCTCGCATGCCACCTGCCGGTGCGCCACGCGTGACTGAGAAGCAGGTCACGTTTGATGCTGAGCCTCGGCGAAGGTGAGCTGGCGGGCTAGCCAGCTCACCCATGCCGCCCCCAAAATAAACATAGCCCCTGTCACAGGTTTGAGGAAACATGAAGAAACTATATCTGACCAAGTAGAGGCAGGAACTGGGAGAGAGTACATGCCCTGTTGAGCATGGTGCACCCTCTTCAGACACAGATCACTTCGATTACGCTACTAGTGGCTGCTGCCTCTATGTCTACACACAACCCGGGCTGGAGACTGAGACGAATCCCTCAGCATACTGCTGCACAAGAGCTAATGAGACAACCAATCTCTCGCAATGTGGAGGGGTTTCATCTCGCAGATGAGGGCCTGATTGCGAGAAAGCAAGTGAACCGGACCGGTGTTTCGAAAGTACTGCGTATGGATCGCTCTTTGTTCATTTCTTGGTCCGTTGATCATGCAAGTGATTGATAGGTCGATATGTTAGGTTGTCAGGTCTCTTCGTCGTCCTTTTCCCGACCTTGTGATGGTCCATGTTTGACAGTGATCATCTTCAGCACTTGCATGGCTGAAGGCTTCTTGAGAACAGATCTAAACCAGAGAAGGGAACCCAAACCGCTTCAAACCCTGATCTGTTTCAGAGGCTCTTCGGCTCCGCAGCTCAACACCCGCATCTTCTTTCCCTCAGGATCCGCCGCAGAACGCTTGGCTGGCCTTCCAAGCTGGGCGAAGTGCCGGCCCCAGGAAGCGCCTTCCTCCCAGGACGTGCGGTGAGGTGTTGTTTCCCGAGTGAAATGGTGGGTGACGTGGGGTGAGAAAGGATTCCGGATGAGAAGGTGAGAAGGAGTAAGAGATGCCACCCTGAAAGGATGAACGGCGATCACAGGATAGCTCCAGTGGAGAGGGGCAGGTCAAGACACAGCCCTCGCAGAAGTTATATAGCAGAAGTCCGTTTCAGCTATTGTCATGCATGTGAGACGGCCCAAGCGCAACTGGTTTCCACGTCTTCCGACTAGCGGAATCTCGTTGATGACTTTGTGAGGGATAATGCGGTCAATGCTTTTGGCTACGTGGGATGAGCGCTTTCTGAAGTCCAATGATTGCTTTCCTGGTATTCTTCCTCTTCCTAGTGGTGTGACAGTGGATCCCTCTAGTTTCAACATGTTTTAACCCAACTTGTTCCTTTCCATTTCAGGTGCGCTAACTACTGCGCCGCAGAATTTTGTCTCGCTCTTGACTGGCGCTCCAGCAGCTTGACTGCCAATATGAGTGAGAACACTGACTGCCGTGCTTGGATTGAACAGGTGTATATATATATATATATTGGACTAGACCACTACATTCTGCACGGAAACGGCCCAAACCGGGAACTGTTCAGCACACGAGCGTGCGAAACCGGACCACACCGATGCAGCTTGCAAAGGCTTGCGGCTTTCAAAGATCACGAAAAGTTGCTGAAACCAATGCAGCTGGGTCTTCACAGTCACTAACATTGGAAGTGGGCAACCACTTGGCTGTAAAGAGGAAGAGCATGCTCATCCACTTTTCCTGAAAACAGCCGGTCGTGGTTGTTCATGGGCAAGTCCACTTCCATGGTTTCCGTGTTCGCCGAAGGGTACCAAACCCGACGTTGGCTTCGTTGGACGATGGTGGAGTCAGACTTCAACGACTGAGGCCACTGAGGCTGTCGGGCGCTCCGGCAGCCGCAAGAGCAGCAGGGCAAGCGCTGGGTCGCGAAGAGGGTAAGTCATGGCAATGAGAGGGTTGTGGGTTCTGAAATCATTTGACATATTTGACAGTGGGTCGAAACAAAGTCCATGCATCCCACATACCAGTACAATCTCATATCGGTTTTGGAGGTAATTCTCATTATCCCTGTGGTTGTCGGTTGTAGTAGGGCTCCCACAGAAGCTTTGGCTGTTGACTGTTGCACTGTTGAGTGGCTAAGTTGTGCCTCTATTGCCAAACAATGCACGTTGACACTTGTTCATTCCAAAGGTGCAGGAAATTGTCCGTCAACAGTAGACTCATCAACAGGTGGAGGTGGCAGGGTCAGGGAGGGCCAGCCTTGCATGCAAGATGCGACCGCAACTTGGCTTGTCCACCCTTCCTCTTTGGTCTCAGATAGTTTTTTTTCGGAATCACGTCCAACTAGAAATGAACAATTTTTAGGAATTGACCGTTGTGTGAGAAATCCAGTTTGTGTGTGGCGATTTGAAACCGGGACCTCAATGGACCTCATATGCTTGGGCAGACCCTCACAAGAACTTTTCAGAACTCCGACATTGCGTAATCGGGGGTCACCGCGGGTCTTGCGGGGGGGGAGTTGGCAAACCGTGGCAAAACAAGTGCTGGGAATTGTGTTGTCCAATACTGAAACTGTGCTTGAAGCTTACTCATCCCCGCCCATGGCGACGGTGTACAGCACCACCTTGCCAAGCAAGGTGCGGTGTTTCTACCTGTTTGGTCTGTAAGTGTCCGCCAGCCGATGCTGGTTTTGGTCTTTTGGGTGGAGGAGTCGCAGACTCTGTACAGCTGCTGCGGCGTGAAAAGGGAGGGGCAGAGAGGAAGCGAAGAAGTCTGTGAGGCGCACTAGAGTGAGAGTGTTTAGCACGCACGTCGATACGAGTACTGTATATAGACTCTGGACTATGACATTGACAGATGGGTGAAAAACGGCAGAAGCATGATGTTCCTTTCAAGTGTGGCATGAGAAGCTCACGAAAATAGAGCCTTTGCCTTCACCGATGAAGCTCACACGTGATGAGTGACATCCGTAAAGTAGACGGGTGAGTTCCGCACAGCATAGCACAGCCAAGGAGTGATTTCCGATAAACCAAAGCCTTTGGCTGGTTAATGCTGTTTGTATTCCTGGTCTTTCAGTGTCTCATCCATCTTAGCATTCTTGGATTAAGTTCTGTTAAGTTGGTTCAGTTCTTGTCCATATTTGTTCAATTACAAGGTTCATCATCGGAATGTAGGTTGCATTAGATGCTTTCCCGCTTGCGCGGCACAGTCTCGAAGTTCCTGACTTGAAAGTGGCCAAAGCAAAAGTTGACCTGCTTTGGGAGGGATGCTGAATTTAGAAGGAACACATTCCAACAAGTCGACAACCAAAAGCTTGTTTCTCGACGTGGCGGTCTTCATGGGTCATGGTCAACTACCTCACCAAAGGTTTACAGAGGAGCTGAACCTGGGGGGACTGTTTGGGATTAATTGAACATATCATATGCATACATATGCATAATACTAACTGCTTACCAGTCCGATCCTATGTCCTTTTAGGATCCTTAGGCAAATATTCATCATGCGTATTGACTCACCACTGTGACAAGCTTATCGAGGGTCGTCGTGATGTTGGATTCCAAAGCTGTTTCAGTCTGAGCCTGTTGAAGAGATCAAACTATTTGTGCTGGAATCAGCAAAGAGGCCATGAGATTTCCTGGTGTTCCGGAAGAAAAGAGGGAGCTTTCTAGGATGCCAGTTCCCATCTTCGGATGGCTTCAAGCCGCACTCCAAATCCTGTAGTCACACGTACTTGCTTCATTAGAAGGTGTGAAAGCAGCCAAGTTACGTCGGCAGCGCGCCATATTGCCCGCATCGGCGCCCGATGGCGTCCTGCCATGCGTCACTGGAGACCCCTGACTGTCAGGGGCCAGTGGGCGCTCTGGTGCCATTCAGTTCGACATGCAGGAAGCATTCAATCTGCTGGGCTGTGGGAGCTCTTGGAGTATAACGCCCACTACTTCAACCCTCATCGAATGGCATCACTTCTAGCACAAGTGCTGGATCAACCCCGCCGGGACACCAAGCCTTGGATCAGGTGAGGCCTTATCACTGTCCGTCCTTGGATTTTGAATTTACTTGGAATGGCTCATTCCAAGAATAGAACAACTTATGCCCTTCGTTGACCCAAGCTCGTTTGGAACACCATGGAGTACTTGCTGTGCTTTCCACACTCCTGAGAAGTCAGGGTCACCGGTTCGATCGCCCATCGACTCCCAGAGTCGGAGGTCGGGAAGCACGAGGAGATCCTCGACTCCAAGCCTATTTGCAGAAGGCGACGACGCGAACGCAGTCCGAAGCGGTTGGGGGGCGGTTGATGTGGTCACCACTCTGGGGAACAAAACCAAACGTGGTGCAGAAACTGGGCGAAAGAGCATGTGGTCGCCATGCAAAGAGGGTCTCCCCAGTGGCCGTGGCCTCGAGCAGAATGTGCATGTCCGGGACCGCCCTGTGACCTCGGACTCTGAGCAGGGTCCAAGCGGTGGGAAGGAGTTTCCGGATGGAATCCTTGGAGATGAGTGAGAATCTAGGTACTGACCGGCAGAAAACGAAGTTTCCATGTGTGTACATGTGACATCTGTATATATTCTGTACATCCAGTAGATTTTCAGGGCATTTGTCGTTTGAATCAGAAATCTTGTGGCCCGAAGAATTAGCAACATCTTTTCCGCACAATCCTTTGAGATCCTTTGAGTATATATCTGCGTATATCCGCTGCCTTTGGCTTTTTCCAGCTTTCTCCTGATCATGCCTATCCGTTCTTGCTCCACCACTACTACTTCCAGCAATACTATAGGTCCTGCCCTACCTGACAGGGAGAACACAGAGTGAATAGTGGGGTATTCTCCATCCTAGGTGGTGTGGATGTGTTCTTTCAAGACTGTCCATATATATATATATTGTAGAGCCAAAGCCCATCTTTCAGCAGATAATGGCAGTTCTGCTTCTGGCAGCGTTGCTGCAACTGGCCTCAGCAGGGTGTCAGCTTGGATCGAGGGACGCTTGCTCAGACCATGGAGTTTGCAAGAGCTCAAGTTTCAGTCCAGATCCCTTCTTCAATAAATGTAAATGTGACTTTTGCTATGACGACTTCGAGTGTGGCACGAACATCTGCTTGTTTTTCGCTGCTCCAGTCGCCTTTGTCTTCTGCATTCTTTGCATGGGCTGCATTTGCAAGGCCTGTCAGGATGGCCTCCTCCTAGGAGGCATTGCTGCCCTGGCGGCCACGATGACGCGGGGGAACCGCGAAGCGACTACCTCCTCTGGCTCATCCCGGCAGCCGCTCTTCGCCGAACGCGAGCTCCAGCCTCACCAACCTCAGCCGAGTCAACAAGTGACACCCTTCAGCGGCGCCACTGCACCGCCGCAAACGGCACGGACCTTCCGGGTGACGTGCCCTGCGGGCGTGTCGCCTGGATCGCTCTTGGAAGCTGTGACACCCGAGGGCTTCGCTGTGCAGGTCATGGTGCCCGAAGGCATTGGCCCCGGCAAGGAGTTCTCAGTGCAGTACTGAGCCACGGAGGGTGGCACACCCAACCCACCAGGGCGATGGAGTGAGAGAAAAGATGGTGACCCCAGAGCAGTTTGGTCAGAGCAGATGTTAACCTGAGAAAGTGACCCATGCTGGTGGGTATAGTGAGGAAGGGACGAGATTTGGACTTGACCTTCCAGATTGGCCACTGCTTGACCATTGCTGTGTACAACGAGAATGATTTTTCCCTGAGCAGTTTCAAATTCAGGAGTTCATCCAACCCTGGTCCAACCCTACACCTAAAGTATTGTCTTTGTGTCACACAGAATTGTGGCATGCATGTGGTGATGATTTATGTACATACATAGGATTTACATACCGTACATACGCATAGGCCGTCATAGACCACGATGTCATCAGCGTGTTGCCTTGTTTTGTTGCTCAATGACCTCCACCAAAGACTACCGAGGGATATTGACATATACTGACCAGTATGTTGTGTTTCCTAGGCGGTGGATGGCCTGAAACGTGTGAGGCCTCTTCTGGTGACGGATTTCACGCCGGAAATGGTCACCTGAACGCCACGCCTCTGCGAGGCCATCACGCAGTGCCATTTGTACGAGAACTTGAGGGACTTGACCGCGAAGGACCGGTCGGAGAGCTGAGCTGCCGAGAGCTGGGGGTGGTGAGAATGTGGAAGATACATGAACTGGTTGGCATATGTTTGATATTGTTTGATTGTGGCCCCTCAAGACTCTTCAACCACTCAAGATTCTTCCAATTTCTCACTCAACTGGTTCAGTGTAGCAGTTGGAACGGGTACGGGTTCGTGATTCGGAACGAAAGACCGGTCTCACCGAAGGTTCGGGACCTCTGAGCGGGCACATGATCCGATCCGCACGCTCGGAGTGATCCGCTGCACGCTCGTGTTCACACCACGTCCATGTTCGCTGCAGTCACCGGCGCACCTCTCAGATCTTCACCGTGAGACGGTGATCCATGCAGTGATGCGTACCGTTACCGTTTCAAGACATTGAAATCACCATGAAAGGCATGAAATACCGTCATCTCGTGTCTCGTGTCTCTGAATCTGTGACCTGAAGCGTCGTGACTCTGCCTCAGGACATTGCTGAGGCTGTTGCTCTTTGCCGAGAGGCCGAGCGGCTAAGTCTTCAGCGACAGAGCCATTGCTTTTGTCCTGGACCTTGGTTATTTGCGCCATGCCATTGGTCCCCCGGTGGGTCAAAACCTCGTGGCTGCTTGAGATTTAGTCCCGTGGGTCTTATCTCAATAGGAGTGGTTGATGCCAAGGAATGCCATTGTTGCTTGTGACGTCTTATCTGTGAGGTTCCGCTCCTTTGCTGCAAGACGACAGTCTGAGTTGGCAACATACCTCACAGCACCTGTCGTTGAGATTGAGTATCGCAAGACGTCTTGACGTCCCGTTGGCCCAGCTGCAACAGAAACCGCCCCGTTGGCCCAGCTAATCTTCCGCATGTTCGGCCAGGTGAAGCATCCTGCGGCGGAGGATTTGTCCGACGTGTTGGTGGAGACCGTGTCCTTGCAGATGCCTAGGCCGTCACACAATCACACACACACGGGCGGTGCGGAGACGTGTGGTGTGTGCGGTTTGCATCCGGGTCCGGTTCCTTTTTTGGTTACCTGTGGTTACCGGGTGTTTGAGAGTGGCCGTACTGCCATACTGATGCGTTGGAAGTATCCGGAATCATCCGGAATCGCTTCGATTCATCACTCGTCGAAGATGAGCAACCGTCAAAACATTAGTGCAATGACTAATTTCGTAAAGAGTGGTCGTGAATCTCAGGAATTGGGCTAAAACCGGCAAAGGCGATAGGTCCCCCTTAAAGGCGATAACCTTGGTGGATCATGTCCTTTGCTTGACAGTACGTTTTGGCAGGCGCTCAATATTGAGGTTCTCCTGGTACTGGTAGAGAGGTGTATATAATTGCTTATATTGTCATATACGATGTAAGGCCGGGCCTGTTCCAAGTGATTGCTAGAATTTGATCGAAGGAGGTTCAAATTCTTGGCCCAAGTCTCATGGACCTGCAGGTGAGCCAGTTCTATACATGTTACAAGATGGTGTGATCTATATAATAGTCGATAGATAGATGGAAGTTCTGGTAACAAGATCGATGGTGAACCTCCAAAAAACTTCCAGGTGCATCGGCTTCCCAAACGGTTGAGCTATGAAGCACTCGTCGCTCTTGTTCATGATGCCAATCAACGGTCCTGCCACCTGTCGTTTTGTTTTGACTGAAGTTGTTTTGCTTGAGGCTTGAGGCAACCCGTGTCTCACACTTCGTGACATGCTTTCGAAAGAGGCAGATCGAGGAGAGCTTCATTGCAGCGGCATTGTCCTTTTCCATGTTTTTGATCAAGTGAAGATCTGCTCGGCTTGGCACTTATAATGTGTCATACATCTTATATACTGAGATATACTGAGTCTTCATGAAAAACGGACCAAACTCTGAAAAAGATCAACAACTTCTTGTGATTTGACCCCCAGGAAGAAGGGCCCTTTCTTTTTGACACCGCAGGACGCGCGCTTTTGGAAGTCGGCCGCCAAGGCCGTGGTGGCCGCGAAGCAGCCCATGACACCGCAGGAGTTCGGACCACCATGACACCGTGCGGTTCGCACCGTGCCAAGCGGCGGGCGATGGCCATCGTCATCCATCGTCTCATGTCTCGACCCCAAAGCTTCATGCTCCTAGTAGTAAGGCCAGGAGCCCCTAGTAGCGTCCTTGCTCCTAGTAGTAAGGCCAGAAGCCGGGTGTTCGGGAGTGTATCCAGTTGAGGAACGTCGAGCGATTTGCCCTTTTTCACGTCGGTCATGGCCCTACCGCGGGACATGTGTTATTCGTGTGGAAACCGTGAGTGACAGAGCGGACCAAACTTCATGCATGAGATGGTAAATCTTTACTTTGCATGAACTGAAAGGCTTCTACGAGCACTGTGAAGGATATAATCCTCACATACAGAGTCTGAAGCCCCTATACGGCGCAGTGGTCACAAACCCATAAGATTTTCCCATGCGTGTGCTGGTGTGTTTGCACAGAAGTTGGAAGACTATTGTCGCGTCTGGTATAGGCAAACACGATACACCCCATGAAAGACTCCTGAAGCTTCATCCTTTTCCTTTTTTCCAGCCAATCTCGATCACGTGCCAAGTCAGGCTATTCTACCAAACACAACAGGGGAATTCATGGAATTCTAAGCTCTCAGCTCGGTTTGCAGAACAAGATCAAACAAAAAGCAGCGAAGTTTCGACAGGAGGTGCTCTCCTTGTTGGATGCCTTCCGGAAGGTTGGCCTTCGCTCACCTCGGCTCTTTCAGGCAGAAAGCGGCGACGCCATGCGACGCTGTTGCAGTTCGTTCAGCATCTCGCAACCCGACAAAACGGTTTCGTTCGGCATCGGGCCAAAATCCTGGACAAATTTTGGGATGTTTAAGAATGTTTAAGAGTTTGATGTTTTGTTTTATGTGCGACATTTGGATCTTGTATGATATTGTGATGTTTAACCAGCGGAAAGTCAAATTCAGATTTCGACCACATCCAACGACGAGGGATACCGCGGCTGGATTGTGAGCGAGCAAGAACAAGTTCACCATGCATGTCCAATGGCTTCTGCATGTCCAAGTGCCAAGGGGTCGGCGAAGAATCTATTGGGGACAGGCAACTGTTCCATTGGGGACAGGTGCACAGATCTGGGTGGAGTAAACGTCAGTGAGAAGTTGGTGAGATTTCACACACAAGACAGTTTTTTGCGCTGTTCTTGTGATCTTCAACCTTTTTGTTCAGGGTATGGGCTGGCTGTCTTGCATCAGGTTCTGAGACGCTCCACGAGCACCTCACGTTGAGCCGTTCTCTTTCGGCTTGGAATAGAGATGACATGTGATGACCTTCCCAACCGCCTGGGACAGTGACAGGACGGGTGAAATTCAGCTACAGCAGACATGGTTGTTTGCCACTCGGGGACAATGAAGGGGGGCGTAACATGGCGTGACCTTTGAATTGGCGAACTTAAGAGATCCAAGTACATGAAACAGTATTAAATTATATATATATGATGCATATCATCTAAGTGTCGTTCCCCTGTGATTCAATGGCAATTTTAAAGACAACTGACGCCCGGGACCGAGTGGCCAGCTTTGAAAATGCCCCCGCGCAGTGGATGCCATGTCGGAATCTGAGCGAGAAGGCGGTGGAGAGAAGAAGTTGTCCGCAAAGAAGGAATCTGGGACTGCTCAGGAGGTTGAGCTAGATGCAAAAAAGAGTGAGTCATCAGAGAATGAGGACTCCGACAATGTGGAGATGGACCGCGCGGCTCCAATCTGCTCAAAGGACCAGAGCTGTCACTTCTTGCATCGATGTTTGTTTGAGTAAAATCATGCAAGATCTCTGTCTGTCAACAAGCCTAAGCCGGACATTGCTAACTGTGCTCCCTAACCAATCTCCAAAGGCTCCAACAAGATGTTTCCAGCACTGGAGGTGCTCGCAGGCCTCTCTTCGGCTAGAATTTCTACCCTTTTTATGCACACCAAGATGACAAAGAGATGAAGAGACTAAGGAATTGGAGGGAGAACCAGCATTTATGCCTTGAACAGTGGTAAATGCCAAAAAAACTATCCCTGACACCCGACACTCCATGTATTGCTATTTACCTACATTGGAACGGTTTCCGGGTGAATGTAGGCGAATATCCCATGACATGAGGGTTGGGGTACGTACCAAAAACCCACCCTGCTATGATCCAGATGGGCGAAGAGCAGCGAGAAGAGGGTCTTCAGCGGCGAGAAGAGGGTCTTCGAGAACGGCGGGCCAACCGAGGCCTTGGAGGACTCGACCTTGGCCAGCCATGTTGCCAGGGCTCCTGTGGCTTTGATCCGCTGGGCATGAGACCATCACCGACCTTTGATGAGGAGTCAGGGCGACATGGTGACATGGTGCCCAAAAAAACACGTTTCCACCAGCAGGGTGCTTCTTGAGGGGAAAATCGTTTCTTCACATGTTCAGCTAGGCCCAATGACCCACCCTGAGGAATACATGCGCATGAACCGAGACTTGGATGAAGAGCCCGCCAATCTGCAGCGCTGGAAAGCTTGGCTTAGCCTCGTCTTTTTGGTATTGATCACTGGGCCGGCGGTGGTGGCATTTTTTCTCACCGCCCAAGAGTATGTGGATCCATTAGTCCGCTTGGTGGGCCCGGAGGATTCGCAGCAAGTCAACGAGATCTTCTTCGGTGGCAATCCCTGGTTGATCTCCTGCGTCACTGAAAAGACCGCCCACAAGAAGCCTCCACGTGTTCTGGAGGCAGCAGCTGAAGTGCTCCGCCCACGTGGTGTGCGGGTAGCACGTGTGTCTCTTGGAGAAGATGGGATGCACCGTTCGAGAAGTATAGCAGGGATAGTTTCTACCACGTGAGGCAGGGAGGACGGAAGACCATGAGCCATCCCTTTGCTCTAGGGCCCTAGGGCTGGGTAAGAGCTTGGTTTCAGGGCTTTTTGAAAGTGCTTTGGCCTTTTTATGTTCATCCCACCCATTTCGTTCTTGCATGCGGGTTTGTTACAAAAACACAGATGGCATTGCCTTGGTCAGGAAAGCGAAAGAATTCCTGACTCATACTGGAACCCACTGGTCCAAAACAAATTTGTATGACAAACATATACAATACACAACATATACAAATACAAATACATACAAAATGATACAAATATATGACAAGACAATTCAATACAACCGCACCTACTGGTTGCTGACCGGTAAGGCACTGCTGGGAGCCCCTGGAGACCAAGAAGGGCCGCCAGACCTTGGCGCAACGCTTCGGCTTCCGGAGCTCCCCCCCGGTGGGGCCTGAGCAGACGAAGGGCCAACACCGTGTGCTTCAATTGAGTCGTTCGTAACAAGGTTCGCTAGGTTCGTAACAAGTGAATCGCTACGTTCGTAACAAGGCCATTACTACTAGTAACAAGGCCATTACTACTATAGTAACAAGAAGTTACTAGTAACAAGTAATGATATGTAATACAATGATATGTAATGATGTGTTTCTCCGAGAAAATGTCATTACTCATTCCAGGTACTAGTTTTGCTGTTTCGCTGAGGAGTTGAATTTCAATGGTTTTCATCTTGCTTCATTGCGCTTTTTGGATATATTTGTACTGCAACACTAGTAGTGTGCTGTTGCAAGGCTAGTATTGCCATTGCGAATGGAAGTGCAGCGACACGTATAGTGCAACTTGTACATATATATGTACCATATGTACTTTGGCTCAAGGATCAAGCGACTAGAAAAGGTGCGGTTTCCGTTCCGACGCTACGCCGCTTATGGATCGTCAGTGATAGCTTCAAACTTTGCTGATTAAGATCCACTCGCAGCCATGAAATACATCAAAAAGAGGGTTTCCAGGGGTGCATTTCTTGCATTGAAGAACACTTCTGAATCTGAACCGGCCGGATGAAGTGACTGTAGTGCTGCATCTGTTGAATAAATAGCCTGAGAAGCAGATGGTTGCTTTCTACGGCGATCACAAAAGGGCGGTACTACCATGTACTACCATGTACTACCACCTCTCAGTCAGTCGGTTTCCGCCCAAAGCGATATCTTTTGGGTTTGGGGGGGATCGTGATTTTTTAGACTCTAGACATTCAATAAAATGTAATCCAATTTCAGATATGTTCTCCGTCAATCTTTCTTCCCCGCACAGGAACGTTTACTCCTTTCATGCCATTTAAACCCCTCCTTGGCGCGCCCCCCACAGAAAAAGGAACGTGTTGCTCAGGTGGTCATGGCCTCCAGTGGCGGAGGGAAGCCCAGCTTCCTGGCAGCGACCGGTTTGTCCGCGGAGGCCTTAGCCGCAAAGGTTCTGGCCGAGGTGATCCCTGAGGCCGCCACGGTACCCAAGGTGGGGTCGGGGTCGGGCTGAGTAGAGGGGATTTGGGGGTTGCTACGCTGAAGAGTGGGGTACTGTAGAAGGAAATTACACCAAGCATTAAATAAATATGTTGGTTCGACACATATACTGAATGTAGTACTGAATCTATATAGTTATATATACATGTTTTACTGTACATATTATTGATGCACTTTTTTTTAGATTTGACATGTTGAATTTACATCTTGTGGATTTGTGAATGAATTTGTTCTCACTGCAGTTACCTCTTCTTTCAACCCTTTCTTGGTGTTGATGGGTGGGGTGACCAATGCGTTGACCGGGAGGACGGTGGGGTGGTCACCATTTGTGGGTGGTCCGGAACAACTGGCAGTGCGTTGTTCTTGGCATGCTCTTAGCCGAAGATAATGCCTCATCACGGAGTCTCCACCATCTAGGAACTGTTCGCCATTTGGGGAATTGTTACGAGATGTTGCGAGTGTTGGAGAAGCTCCGGCAAAACAGATCAACACAGCATGCACGCTCAACTGTTTTGGGGATCCTAGCGCCGGCGTTTCCGGCGGCACGTCACTCTGAAAGAGTTTTGGATCTGCCAAATCCGCCAGGCCCAAGTGAAGGATCGGTCTCTTGGCTGATGGACTGGAGGGACTCAAGTTTTAAACCATGAACATCCATCCAAAACTCAGATGGGTGTGATTTAATAGGGAGACCCCCCCACCAATCGGTTTTGGTCAACTTTCCTTCTTCCAACGGGGTCTTGTGGGAGGTCTTTTTTTTATGCACATGCATGTTCAATGCTGCCACTGTCAGTGGATCTGAACTTTGGAAGCGAGAAAGATCAAACCGCCGGTGGAACCGCCGAGGCGGTCGACTTCCCAATCGCGCCGGGAGCCGGTGGGGCGACGTCCAGAATCAGGGGCTGAGGTGCGGAGTGGCCCATGGGGATATGCATGAGGGTATCACTGAGACCCGCAAGAGGGCGGAGCATGTGGGGCAGTGGCAGGGGTTGATTTTCAGCTGCTCAGAGTTGGATCTCACAGCCAGTCATGGGAGACCTGGGGCTGCCCCTACCGGCCGTGGGAGCCTACCGGGGTGCGGGAGATGTGAGTGTGAGGCAAAGCACAGGACTCATGAAAAATCTGAAGAATCTCATGAAGATGTTCTGGAGGAAAGAGTTTTGCATGTCCTTAGCTGCTAGCTGGTTGCGGCAAAGTCTTCATATATTGAATGCTCGTCAATGCTCTTCTTGCCAGGAAGACATCAGCAGCAACGATGTGCATGAGGCTGGAGATGGACGTCCAAATGCTCGTTCACCTACCTTTTGCTACTGTATGTGTTGGTTCGCATTTTCAGAATCGTTTCTGCAACTTTGCCGGCTGAGGAGGTACTCCAAGAAGAAGAAGACGTAAACCTCGATGCATGAAAGATCTTGAAGCCACGCTCCACGTGACGCGCCCGTTCGCGGAAAACGTGTGCGAACGAGGACAGCGGGGTGTCACGGAACCTTCCAGTCTCCCGTCGGCCGACCGTGGTGCCACCCAAAGTGCTAAAGCCACCAGGGCATTCTGTTGGATCATGTGCTACATGTGCGTCCGTTATGTTCAATGGTCCAACTGCCACATCACCTGTCGCTTGTACTTTCTGTTCCCTCTAGACCCGATTCCAAAGATAACTGTAAAGTTAATTATATAATGTTAATTATATATAGTTATTATAGCTCGGCACAATGGCGGCATGTCCTTTGCCGGATCTCATTGAACGTCAATAGTGGATTGGAACCGTCCAGAGAGTAAGTTGCCAACAGGTGTTAGCTGTCCGTGTAAGTTGGGGTCAGTATTTTTGCTCAGCTGCTGGGGTATTGTCATCCACCTGCATGAAACATGCGGTGTGTAGCGAAAACCGGTTTGATGTCAACCAGGTGTTATCGATGTTCATATCCTTTTGTTGTCATGAGGCAACTGCTGAGTGTGTCATGCGGTGGTTTGGAAGCTTGTTTGTACGGCCCATACTGTACAACTGTCGGATTCAAAAACCACACAGCAAGCTTAATATCACTCGAGATACTAGAGTATACTAGTAGTTACATGTAGTTACTAGAGTCAGTCAGGCTGAGATGCCCTCTCGCGATGTTTTTTTGGGGAAAAAACCTCCCACATGGAAACTTAAGACCATTCTGGTAAAGGGCTGTTACCGATCCAAAGTCTACAAACTCGGGCATCTAGGCACCACGGTCGAGAACCCATCAGAATCCTATTCCATCACTCTCCAACCATAGGTTTTGCTCATGGCTCACCATGGCGAAGATGTCAAACACCAAACGCCAGGCCTTGGCCCGTCGAGTCTTTGAAGTCCTGGATGAACTGGAAGCTCGGCAGCTGGCCAAGCAATGCAGCGTTGTTTTGGGCTGTGACCGAAAGTCGAAGCACTGCTTCTTGTTCCATATTGTTACTTGATATATTGTATGTTTCATCAGGTCAGGTCTTCCTCCTTGGCACGCGCTTGACTCGCGTGAAGAAAGTTCGGAAAGCCAGCTATTTTCATTCGGTGGGTTGATGGCCCACTTGAGCGTTGTCCCAGGAACATCCCACCCATGGTCGCAACCTTTTGCCGGGTGCCCATAAAGGAGGAGGTGCGGAGCTGGCACCACACGTGGCCGGAAGGAGTTGGTAGTTCGCATGCAGAGGTCTGGGCGGTATTCATATTGTATCATTTTGTAAGCGTTCTTCTCAATATAGACTTTATAGCATGTTTGGCCAACGTATAATCAGAATTTGAAAAGCTGGGTGGCCATTTCAGATATACATATATATAGTGAACCTTTTCTTTGGATGATTGATCCCACTGACTAAATATGTTTCAGCTGTGTTGAAGCCAGTCCCGGTGTTCCTCCGGTGAGTGGCGCCACGCCGTCGGATGGCTTCGGTCTCTTCCATAGGAGCGCGAGGAGGTGGTCCACGCGCTGGTGACCCGGTGGCTGGTGATGTTGGACTACAAGGCGTTTGGACTGCTGGAGCTTTGGATGTGGAAGGGTGGCACAAACCTCAAGATGTCCATTAAGTGGGAGGGAGTTCATATCAGCCACTTCTTGGGGATTGTACCGTCTACGCACTGTGAAACTTCTAAAAAAATAGCATGGCAAGCTCAGAAAGGACATGTGACACATGCGGATCATGAACATAGAGAAACTCCGCATTTCTTTGGTGTTGTATACACTTAAATATATGTTGTTTATGATTCAAGGAGTAGCCGTCCATAGTTTTTAGCAGGATACCTCTGCTGACGTCGGGTGAGAGTATCCAAAACTCCAGGTGGTCCTTCGTTGAAAAAGCTTTGCTGCTCTGCTGCTTCCAAACAGAAATGATTCACATATTATGTTCATGTGTTAATTAGTTGTTCCATCAAATTATATACCTTCCCCGATTAAAACCACACGTCTCCTGGTTTTGTACGAAATCCATCCGCAGGCGACCAATCCGCGTGTCCGACGCGTGCTTCAGGCCGGCATCACCGTGCAACAAATCCTGAGCTTGGCAGTGCCGGTGGCCAAGCCAAGGGGGCATTGGATGCGTCCTTGATAGAATTTAGAAGTTTCAGGTGTAGATGGTGCACATGGTGGATGCCACAATTGCTGTGTCAAAGGAAGGCTTAACGCTTTGCACAATTCTTTGGGAGGACCTATCAGAGGAAGTGACCACCACTTCTATCATTTTCTATCTACTCATCAACAGGGAACGAATCAACTCGAAGTCCAGCAGAGATTTTGCCGAGTAGACTCCGTGCGACGATGTCAGGTCACTTCAGTTGTCGCCCCACCTCATCAACACTGCAGTCTTCACCAAAGAGGCCCAGCCTCTTTCCTCAGGTCTTCCAGCGTCTCTTTTTGGCGCCGATCGAATCGGTTTTGGACATAGCAAATCAAGCCTGAAGCGCATGATTTGTACGCCAGATGAGCATGAACTTCCAAAGCTTTGCGAGCTGGTCAAAAGCAAATGAAACATGTTACCGAACGTGAAGAAATATGAAGTTTGCTCCAACTCCCTCTAGAGTCGAGGTTCATCGCAGAAGTGTCGTGTCCTTTCAGAGTAGATGCTGATACTTCAAGCCTGAAGGGCCAAATTCTTGGCCACACCGATCCTGCCTTGGACAGGTCTTGAATTACATGGCCAATCGCTTCCATCTTCTCCAAGCCGATGAGGCCATTGTCTTCGTTTGGGTCCGGACACCGAGACAGACCGACCGGTGAGACGTGACGTCGAAAACATGGGCGAATGGATCAACTTGATGTTGAAATCTGGTTGAGAGAATTGTTGCAGAGAGTTGTATATAAATGATATATAAATCCATATATGTCATCATATTTCGAAGCCTACGAACCTACTGTCACATGCTGTCATCACTGAAGATTGGAGGACGCTTCACGATCGAACTACCTCAAGAAAAGTTGCGAAGACAATCATTGCCCTACCATCCTCATCCATTCTCTACCAGTTGAGTGCCAGTTGTGCTGGTTTATCTTGCTTTGTGTTGGATTTCAGTGACTGACATCACGCCGTTTCTTGACCCATTTCTCTCCCGCCATGACCTGAAGGGCTTCCACCGAACGGAGCAAGAACGCTACTAGTAGCTCCTGGCATTACTACTAGGAGCAAGAAGCTACTAGGGGCTCCTGGCCTTACTACTAGTAACAAGAAGCTACGAACGGAGCGATCGGACGCTTCCCCAGGCCTTGCAACGTTTGGTCGTGCCCGGCAGCTCCACGGCCATGCTTGCGCGGGGGCTTCATCAGGCGCAGGGGCAGTACTCGTCGGCTCCGGGGTTTCCCGGCTCAGTGTGCCGTTGGTCAAGCGCCTCAGGCCTCTCTCGCCAGCCAAAGAGCTGGAGAACTGGTTTCCATCGATCTGATTCCGCTCTCCAATGGGCGATCTGATTAGGTGCAACGACTCTGGCGTCTTTTGTCCGCCTCCAATGAGCTGAGCCTGCCGCATGGCACAAGAGTTCCTCGCGGTGGGCGGGAAGATGACTGTTAGGAGGTCCAAGAAACCCGACCGGTCCGAGAAATTGCGACGGACTCAGTAGAAGTTGGTGGATCCAATGATCCAGAAGGATCGGGGCAACACCGGTCAAAGTCGGCACAGCATGAGAAGGTACCTGCATTGAACATCAGCAGATATCAGCAGTGCCTAGTTTGAGAACATTCTAAAGCATGAGGATTGGTCCTGACCGCCTCTTTGCTTTGTGCAGCCCCGGCAACTAAGCACATCGACGTGGTAGTCACGTAGTCCAACACCTAGGCAACGTCTGATGCAGCTCTCAGAAGTCTTGGCTTGCGTCAAGGAGGAGGCCCGTCTAGCGGCTCCATGTGAAGGAGGGGCGGATCCAGTTGTGTCGGGTACCTCTGTGGGCGGGTCGGTTTGGTTGGAAACCCCCAGCCGAAGGGGTCACCTCAGCCGATGGGGGGTCGTTCTTTGGACAACACCAGGTGAAGTTCAGCCACAAAAATGATCCTGGAGCTTTCTCAAGGTATTTGAATATGTTGAATCAAACACGCTTTGTGGGTATTTCATGGTATTTCTCACCCAGATCTACGAGCTGAAACTCAGATTGGCCAACCAAGGACGTGTCCATCAGTCGTCAGAAACATCGGAATGGACAGATGACGGATGATTTGTCTCTCACCTACGGATCGGCAGAGCTGGAAGGATGAGGCAGAAATGCCAATCTCGCCAATTCCCGCTCAAAGGGGTCCACGTTGACGTCGAATCAAAATGAATCAAACACAGAGGAGTTGGTGTTCAAAACCGGGACCCACTTGTTATGTAAAGCCGAGTGTCTTTGACAGGCCGACGGGATGTCAACTCGCGAGTCCCAGTGGATGGTCAACCCTGCCGCATGGGACGTGTTCTTCCGTGTGTGCGCAAGCGCTTGACGCGCGACGTGTGCGCGACGTGTGCGCGACAGGCGAAGGGATCTTACTGGACCAAGGAGTTGGAGGAGTTGCATGACTTGGCCATTGAGGACTGAGACCACCCCGAAGGTCGGACGTCTCGACCACCGGAGCCCATGGACCTCGTTTCGGGTGGCTTGTTCAAATGTTCTGGGTATGTTTTTTGGCTTTTGATAGGTTGGCAGGACGATCAGGACGAACCACCAAAAAGTAACGAGGTCTACGTACCCAACCCATCACGTTCCTTTTTCTTCCATTTTCTAAGGCTTTGTAGATTCTTGGTCACCAGAGCGTTCCTTTTTGCCCAAACAGCACAGAACTGCAAACCATCGATCAGTCAATAGAAGCACTCGTTGGATGGTCGTTGAATTGCTTGGCCACGTTGGTCTCCGCTCCCGCGGTAGCTCACAGACGACGGATGAGGACCTGGCAGAATCGGTGCAATATGCTCAGCCAGAGGCTGAGTTCCAGAGTTCCCAAGCCTTTGCCAACACAAGCAGCTCATGTCGAGGGGCCAAATGACCAAGCTCCACAAACGGT